TAATCATCAATTTTAGAAAAAACTCACCAGTCAACCGTAGGGGTTGGTGATGGAGGGAAGCAATGAGCGGAGAATCATCTCTACCTCCCCTTCCCTGATTGCTGTGATGTCTATATTATATAATGACTCATGAGTCATTTTTTCCACACATTCTCATAATTGTCATTTTTCCCCATTTTGTCAGCTTTTCTTTAGCTAGAATCGTTATAGTTGCTAATTATTATAACGTCACCGATAGCCCATAGCCTTAAGATGAATTATACCATAACATTTTAAAATTATTTTCAAAATAAAGATCGCTTATTAAAGAGTGCCTAATTTTCAGGTGCCTAATTTTCCGCCTTGTCAAAAAGTGCCTAATTATCCGGGTGCCTAAATTTCCGGTGCCTAAATTTCCAGATACCGGAGCTGCGCTAAGGGTACAGTGAAAAAAAAATGGGGGGGGGGGGGGGGGGGTTCCTGCTTGGAGTTCATCTCTGAAGTCACCTTGACAGATGCAAAGAGTACCAGAAGGTATAAATGCAGCTAATTTTGGATCGGGCATTTAGACCAAAAACTCTGGAGAAGTCTAAATGGAAAAACGTGGGTACTTCATAGAGCCATAGAGCCACTTGGTTGGCTTTTGTATAATGGAAGAGAGAGAGATGGGGGGGGGGGGGGGGTAGAAGAAGTCGGTGTCATCAATGCCTGCTAAACCATTGTGTACTGCAGGCTAGTGGGATACAGCGAGAGATCATGTCAAGTCAAAAGCGAGGCATGGAGCGAAGGTAGAAAGTACAAAGTGAAGATGAAACGTGAGATACGTCTCGCATTGAGTCAAATGGTGACCAGACACCTCATCATATGAGACATTGCAACATTTTATCATTATAGCAATTCACCATTTAGGGTTATGGTTAGGGTTAACTTGCTCAGTATGTTAATTACTAAATTACACCTACATGTACAAATGTTTGCAAAATGCACTTTATGCAATGATGAAATGTTGCAATGATGAAATGTATCGTATGATGAGATGTCGGGGAACCGAGTCAAATAAACATAGACGTGGAAAATAAAATATCAAGAGAGAGCATGGTCTGTGCCCCCCCCCCCCCAAAAAAAAAACACAACCTATTTATAGGAAAGAACGCACAATGACTGTTATATAGCTCATTACTGCAATATTTATATCCTTTTTACTATGTTAAACAAAACCAATTAATTACCACAAAATAATTAACTTATTGGTTAATTTTTGATTGATTCATGTCTTATCATCGACTATGACGACTGTGAATAAGTTAGCAAAGTTGATACTTGATCCCAGAAATGGGAAGCGGGGGAAATACTGTGTACGAGATTTGTACGAGACACAAAAAGTTTTTTGTTTGTTTCTTTTAAATATGAAGAGAGAGTTTTAGAATGCAAATAAAAAAAAAGATGTCTATAATTTCGGACAATTATTTAGGATTAAGAAAGTAAGAAAAAAAAGCAAAAGAAAAATAAAGAGCAACATAACTAGCAATCTCCATGACATAATCAATATTGTATTGTAAGTCAGCGGACACAAAGCTCTGACAGATGCTGGATCATAACCAAACCTCAGGGCTTCACAAATAATCAATACACACCCCACCTCCCAACACACACACACACACAAGTGTGAAAGCTAGAGATAAAAAAACTTTCATTCAGCATTTCTGACGTTGACTCGGTGGCTTCAGTCCCTTCCCCCCATTTCACTTGACAAGATGTCCAGGTACCATTCTTAAACATCGATAGGTCGTCACTGGACAAAGTGTCATACAATTTGAACAAAATAACAACAAAGAAAAAAAAAACCTCATGGCACAATCGATGTTTCTATCTTAGTAGAGAGTCCCGGGTTGATTGTTCCGGATATCAGGGACACAACCCGAGATATGGCAGACAAAAAAATACATCGGATACAAAAAAGAAAAGGAATGGTTGGACTAACTAGAGGGAGGGGAGGTCATTGTGTGTGTGAGAGAGGGGGAGTTAGCTGAGGAAAGGGAAAGGGAGCGAGCTTGGTTATTTTGACGAGGTAGAAAAGAAAAATTTTGTTTGAAAGATTGACTCTAGGGGAGAAAGTACATCCCCCCCCTCTTTTCTTTCCTTTGCCAACCCCTTGTGTGTGTGTAAACCGGACATCAACTATCTTTTCCATCAAGACGGCCAAGGTGGACAGGAGAGAGGCGTGTTAAGAAATAAAGGGGAAAGAGGAGAAGGAGGGAAGGGAGAGTGAGAGAGAGAGAGAAAAGAAAACGGAGGGGAATAAAGATGGCCATAAGAGCGAGGGGTGGTAGGGGACAGTGAAGGTCGAACAGAGGTCAATCAATAGCGTACAACACAGCTCGCTGTGGCTAAGTGGAGGTGGATCAAATCAGATTAGAGGAGAGAAAGAAAGGGAGAAGGAGAGATGGAAACAGAAAAAAGAAGGGGAGCTTACCACACACAGGGGAACTAACAACACACAGAGAAAGTTTGGGGGAGGGGGGGGGGGGATAGAAAGTGAACAAAATTAACAAGACTTCTACAAGAAGTTTAAAAAAAGAAAGAAAAAACTCACAGAAGGAAATGCAGAAAGCCCTATTAATTTATTTTCCCCCTCATCATCCGGCCATGCGGTCACTGCAACAGCTCGTCAGAATAAACAGGAGAATTCACTGGATACCATGTGGAATTTCAGGGTAACCATACAGCGTTATTAGACTAGTGGTCCCCCACAGCCCCAAAAGGCTTTGTTTTCGTCGAGCTTGGCCGAAAATCTGTAGATGTGTCATACAGACTGACATAACGACATCCACACTGCACAAAGCACGATATGCAAGAAGTACGTCGAAAAGGGAGGGGGGAAAATAAGGCGCTGTCTAGGATGTACACTAATTGTGTTTTCTCACGTCTGCTGTAAAGTTCCATGTAAACAACGTTTTCATAAAAACCCGCCAACTTCCGTTACGTATGTGTGTGTGTGTGTTACTCTATGACAAGACGAACGAGATTCCTACGTGTGTGTGTGTGTGTTTATCGCCCCCCCCTCCCCCACCAGTTATTACAAACCACCACATAGGTCGTACACTCTAGCGCTCTCCCATTAAACGCCGTGAATGTGTCTCATGTTAGCGAGGTTATCTCCCCTACTTTACGCAAATGGCCAAGGGAAGTTTCAAGAAAACTTGCCACACTAATCACAAACACGGGGCGGGGTGGGAGGGCACTTCCTGTAGCTCCCCCCCCCCCTCTTCCCAACACCCCATTTTGCCCACTCTTTCTTTCCTCTGCCTGGATCAAAAGGCAACCAAGTTCTATGTAATCATCGTTGAAAATAAAAACATTCCAGACATCTGCAGTTAAGCCATCGGTTGGTCTGCGTGAGTGGAGCCTAACAGAGGGACAATCTAAAAAGAGTTGAATTGCAAGATGGAGGGGCGAGCCTGTGAAAAGAGGTCATCGATTTCTCTCATTCTGATTATTGACATTTTGCAAAGCTTTCTAACCTGCTGTCATCTTTGCTTTTTTGTTTGTTTGTTGTTGTTTTTATAATAGAAAAAAGTTTGAAAAGAAAACAAGACTTGGCCATCACGAAGAATGTTTACGTAAACAGTAATTAACCAAAAAAAAAAAATCCTACACAGGCGGTGTAATCTAGCAGTGTTCCCAAAACAAGAGTAGTCTTATCCTAACTCTACCCTCTGACTTGAACCTTGATGTGTTCCAAGAGACCTATTACACCCAATGATGCACGCTTATTGTAGTCACGCGTTGAAATCCTAACACAGGTTGTGGTGTGTAGGGCGGTATAGAAATAAATTACACATCTTAAAACCACAATGAAAGAATTACTTTTTCTCGGACGTGTTGGGGTGGTGGAGGCGGGGGAAGAAGTATTTAAACCAGTTTGAACAAACATTACTGGAACTCAGTTGATGTGATCGTAGAATGAGAATTCATTAGTAAAACAGACCCTAGCCGAATAGACAGCTTTAAGAAGCGACGACGAACTATAATAGAATAAATCAGCAGTACAAAGTCTGACCGGATGTGAGAAGTCTAGCGGAAGTGACGATATCAGAAAACAAACAAGTAACAAATATCTATAAATACTTAAGACAAATATGTGACCTAAAAACAACCCATCCAAACGAACCTGGCTTTCCGAACCTAATTTATGACCCAGGCATGAAGATAAATGTTTGGGTTCAACACACTCGTTGACCTGTTCAACGTGTAGTGTCTGAGGTTACATGGCTGACCAGAGACACGGAGATAAAGAAAGAAACAAAATAAACAAATGTGTGCAAGACTGTATTTTGACACTGTTGTGTTGATTTCATGAACTATGTGGTGGTGTCAAATGGACTCACTGATGTACACCCCCCCCCCCCCCAACTCTTGGTATGTGCGTGATAGTGTGGGGCACTGAAGAAGGGATCAATACTGCTAATGATCCGTGGTGTGAATTGAACCATAGAAGCACTCTTTGGCATAGACATTGGGCTACAGTGCACCAGGGAAAGGTCAAAATGGAGAAACGGATTATACGATTATTATGTGTTAGATCATCGTGTGGTACAGAGGTAAAGCAAAATAGTATAATCCTTAAATGTATTGTATACGTCTAGCTATCACCCCTCTCTCCTTTTACCAGAGCATGATTTCAATCCCTAACTAACACCGAGGTCCACTTCACAACCCATATTTACAAACAATACATAATGTTTTTCCTGTAACCTTTTTGTTTATTTATAAATCCCTTTTTTATATATCGTCACACACACTACAGATTATTTGATAAAAAAAAAAAAGATAGCACTAAATGCCAAAAGATGGTGCATTATATTATGTATTTTTTTTCATTCCAATGATTTGTTTAACAATAACTAGTTACTTTTATGAAAGCATTGAAACCCTCAAGATCAATTATAAAACAATAAACAAAAAACGCAAAAGATGCCTGATAAATAGTTTTTAATGATTAATGTTTTTCAAAAAAAAAAATTAGTCAAATCCATGTAATGCCCTCCCCCCACCCCCCAACCCTAGCAGGTTTGAAGCTGCCAGGTCAAAGGCCGTATAACATAATTATAATGAGCTTAGAGAACTTCGGTACATTGGCAGAGAGTTTATTCCATACAACATTTATGTAACACAGCGATAAGGTAATCATTGAAAGAAGTGACGTTCTAAGTACATTGAATGGAAACATCTTTGCTGCAGTTATATTCACAATGGAAGTAACCAGAAAAACAACACAGTATTTGGGGGGGGGGGGGGGGAAGAACATATACCGTGTTTAGTGCACACACACACTATACAAATCCAAGCTAGGACTTACCATAAGGGTCAGGTGGATATAGAGTTGGAAATCCACCCACGACATGGGTGTGATGGTGTGTATGCACGTGTCTTTGGGTCGGTGGTGAGCTTGAATACTCCCTCTGTTTGTCCTTCACCTTATCTACTGGATGTCCAGGGGAGGACGACCTGGAAGTAGTCAGAGCCTCTGATCCACCAGATCTAGTCGGGGCCGGGGAATGTACTCCAGGACCGGGCCGCACTAGACCTTTCTCCTGAAGTTCGTGGATTTTGTGCACGGGTGTTGAGCTGGAGTAGCCAGCAGAAACCGTCGCAGAGTCTCCGCCACCCACTTTGAGGTTCTCAGGATCTGGGGAGGCCCCACATTTCGCGGACATAATTTTCTCAGTTTCAACACGAAAGCCGAGTGGAGAAGGAGGTATAAAAGCGTTAGGGGCAGCAGTATAGCCAATGATGTGGTGGTGAGGTCTAAACATAGGGTGTGTAGGGTCAAGCGGCAAGGGACGAAATGGTGGGTAGTAAGGATACGAGTAGCCGGCCCCAGCTATAGGCTGCTGTGCCATAGACGTCACCAATGAGACTGGGATGGAAGATGGTATCTGTGCTTGCATGGATATGGACGAATTCGCAGATGAAGATGTCGGGGCGGAAGTTGATAAGCCTCCAGTGGGAATGTTGGGTGTGCCAGACAATCCTGGTCGAGATTTGTCATGAGATGAGGGTGGTCTAGACTCCTCCTTGACATCATACCTCCTATTACTGTCTGTGGATACAGGGTCAGAACGGTGGTGGTCCTTAGGCTGTACAACTTCCTTTTTAATCATGTCATGCGTTAGCAGTTCCATAGGCTTATTGTCCTGTTGTAGCCTGGATGATAAAGATGACCCTGACTGACCCGGGGACTGACCTGGGGACATTCGACTGTTACTAGTCAGCTCTGGTGGCACTTTGCGTTTGTCTTGTCGATTGTTCTCGAGAAGTTTCTGTTTTTGGTACATCTGAGCTCTAAGATCATTCTGTTGCTGTTGTTGTTGCTGCTGCTGCTGCTTGTAAAGTTGATAGGGATCCTGATGTCCCATCTGGGATTTGAGCTCAATGTTTTCCTTCAGGATTTGAAGATTTTCTGTCTGCTTTTCCCGCAGTGCCTGGTCTCGCTCGTCACCATGCCTCCTTTCCCCAACCCCAATACTATCAGTGCCCCCGATGTTTGGCGAGAAAGTTTGTTTCCGAGAAAAGTCAAAGCCCTGAGGTCTGTTGGGTGGGTTTCCAACATTTGACTGCTTCCCAAGGTTGTCCTCTGTGCCATTGGAGGCATCTTGCTGTTGCTGCTGTTGGTGATGGATGATACGTTTATATTCATCATACTGTTGTCTGAAGGCAGGATTCTGTTGCATCATTAGAGTGTAGTGGGGATCAAGGGCTGGAGAGTTGTAAGGGTTAATAAAGCTCTGAATTTGAGGATAATAGTAGTTAAATTTCTGTTGCTGCTGCAGTTCCTCTTCCTGCATGGAATGAGAAGCTTCCTTTTTGTCAGCGCTCTCTGCCTGTCTGTCATCAGGGTTTTCTTTTTTGATACCTTTAGGCGATGACATTTGTGGACTTAAGCTGTGAGGAAGAAAATTCTGAGGGCCTCCATAATAGAAGATGTTGCCAAAATGTTGCTGGACGTTGCCAGCATTTGAGCCAAGATGAGAAGCAGGCCCATTCATCTGGACATCTTTTTTGGAATCTTTTTTCGGGCTGTCCTCTTGAGGTGGAGAGTTACTGTCATTGGCATCAGAGATGTCAGAGTATGCTGGACTGTGAACGTCATCATTGATTGTGCTTTTGAGATCAACAGGGGCCAATGACAATGTGGAAGGTGGGATGGCCAACCTCGTTCCACTAGACATGGGGGATTCTGAATTCAACCTTTGAAGCTTCGGCGAGTCTTGGGATGGCTGGAATGGAGAACTGACAGATTTAGACATATCCAAGCTAGGGCTGGAAGCTTCATATGGTTTGGACGGATTGGAGGTGACTAACACAGATGACCTCTCGCATTTGTACTGGTCATCATGGGAAAAGTTATCATTTGCTGGGTGGTCTCTAGACGATAGTAACTTGTCATGAGATTTGGAGCCCGAATGACAAATTGGGCTATCCTTTTTCTTCTTAGATTTTTTGTGTTTTCCACTAGTGAGGTCAGAAAGAGCAGGGCTGGGTGTTGAATAGTCACCCATGATTGTCGGTTTTGGCTGAATAGGTTTGAGTGACGTATTGTGGGTTTGCATAGAGGACGCAGTTGATATACTGGTAGAATGAGAATGACTTAATGCTGGTACTATTGGTCGTGCTGAATTGACAGTTTTTGGAAGAAACGATGAACTTTTATTAGAATTCTGCCTGTCTCCCGAGATGGACATAGCTAGAATGGATGTAGTCACTGTGTTGGCCAATGTTGCACAAGTGGAGGACAGGCTGGTTGCTGTGGTCATTAGTGGCAAAGTCTGTGCAGTGACCAGGCTAACCATTGTGTTGGCTTGTGTGACTATGGCTACTCCAGCCAGGTTGCCGGTGGGTGAAATTTGAAACACCTGTGATGTGATCGGAGACTTTATTGTGGTCATCAGAGAGACACCGTGAGCCGTGGTGCTGGCAATATTTACAGCAGCTGGAGCTGAGACTTCACTTGTTGGCAGGGAAGGCACAGAAGAAATAGGTGTTGATACAGGTTGGGGAGATGCCACATCAGATGGCGTGCTAGGAGCATTCGGAATTTTCTTTTTGGCTGACCCATTGTTTACGCTGGGAGACGGACAGTCTTTGTGGGATGAAACATTGGTTTTAGTCAAGACAACCTGAGGTTCAGGCTTGGGAGTAATGCTGGAAGCACAACTTACTGAGCTATTTAAAGAAGAGCCAATGTTTCCACTACTGCTAGACTCTTCTTCCTGCTTCTCTTTACAAACGCCAGCAACCGGGACAGGATCTGCCTTACTGTTGACTTTGTTAGCTATTTCTTTCAAAGGAATGTCATCATCTATAGAATCCTTGGAATCGCGATCACACCGTTGCTGCTCTTTGATTTTCTGCCTCTCTTTCGCTTTCATTCTCTCCGCTCTCTCAGACACTGTTGTCGCTTTCTCTTTTTTATCCATTTTCATCTCCTCGTCTTCATCTTCCTCATCTTCATCTCTAGTGTCCTCGTTGGCAGAGTTCTTCCGGTGGGCATGCGTCCGGTGGTACCGGAGCCCGTTCATGTGTTTATACTTCTTGTGACAATTGGGCTCTGGGCAGACGATGTACCCATCCGGGGTGGGGCTTTCCGCCCCCGTCACGCCCCTGGAACAGGAGCGGCTCCTTTTAGGCTTCTCGCAGTCTACTTCGTTAGGCCTGGCCTTCCTCTTGGCACTGAAAGAGCTGATATCTGATTTAGCGGGACTTGGCGGAGCAGTGAAATTGCTGCTTGCGCTATTTACAGTCCCCCTCCGACCTTTCCTTAGTTTTCTGCCCTCGGGGAGACGCTCGTTCATTTGGTTGGCATTTCTACAGTTACGTTTGCCTCGACCTTTTGGGGTTCTGGACTCGAAATCGCTGACTGGAGATTCACAACCACTGGGCCTGAAAGAAGTTTAGAATCACGTATTAGAATTAGGTTTCACAAGTCTAGAAATAAGAAACTGAATTTTAAAGTGTTAAAGAGGCTAATTTTTTTTTTTTGCTAACAGCCGAAATGGTATATATATGATTGACAACAGCTCTGGGTTTTATATAATATACCTAAGTTAAGGGCTTTTAAATTATAGACCATAGATATAGGAGTTCATTAAATAAAGATTGCTATTACTATAATAAACAAACCAAATATAAGCTTTATATAATAGACTTAATTTACAGAGATTTAGTGATTATGAGCTTGCATACAACAGTTCATGAAATAAATGGTTGAGTGACAAGCTCATTTTAAACATTATTAATTTATGGAAACATTGCCTGTAATGTCGTTTCAGCCAACGGTGTTTAATGGCTTCTGTTGACGTCTTTCATCAATAAAACCTTATCTTTCCCACTCTCGGCAAGTTAATAATTGTATTTGTCGAGGTGGCGGTTAGAGTTAATGTTACACAGAATGACAACGAAAAAAAGGGGAGGGGAGGGGGGGGGAAGTCGGAGGGCATGCAGTTGTTGAGTTACGCCGCAGAAGCCGATGAGGGAGGGGTGTAATGAAAGGGTGCGAGAATGTATTCGATTGGATTCAGCTTTGTTCTCATTTTCTAAAATTAAAAACAAACAAAAATTGTTTAATCTACAAATGAACATCCATATAGTGGGGTGTGACGTAACAGCCAATGTGGTATGACCAATATAACGCAACAGTCAGTGTGGTATAGAAAAAGCCAGCAGCCAGTGTAGTATGACTAGAAAAAGTCAACAGCGAGTGTAGTATGACTAGAAAAAGTCAACAGCCAGTGTGGTATAGAAAAGCCACAGCCAGTGTGGTATAGAAAAAGCCAACAGCCAGTGTGGTATAAAAAAAGCCAACAACCAGTGTGGTATAGAAAAAGCCAACAACCAGTGTGGTATATAAAAAGCCAACAACCAGTGTGGTATAGAAAAAGCCAACAACCAGTGTGGTATATAAAAAGCCAACAACCAGTGTGGTATAGAAAAATAGAAAAAGCCAACAGCCAGTGTGGTATTGAAAAAGCCAACAGGCAGTTGTGGTATAGAAAAAGCCAACAGC